GTGAGTGAGTGAGTGAGTGAGTGAGTGAGTGCAGTTGAGTGAGTGAGTGAGAGTGAGTGGTGAGTGAGTGAAGTGAGTGAGTGAGAGAGTGAGAGTGAGAGTGAGAGAGAGAGGAGAGTGAGAGGAGAGTGAGAGAAGAGGAGAGAGAGAAGAGAGAGAGAGCAGAGAGAGAGAGAGAGAGAGAGTGAGAGTGAGGAGTGAGAGCGAGAGAGAGAGAGAGAAGAGAGAGAGAGAGAGAGAGAGAGGAGAGAGAGAGAGAAGGAGAGAGAGAGAGAGAGAGAGACAGAGACAGAGAGAGACAGAGAGAGACAGAAACATAGACAGCGAGAGACAGGGACAGAGACAGAGACAGGGACAGAGACAGAGACTGAGACAGTAACAGAGACAGAGAGAAACAGGGACAGAGACAGAGAGAGACAGAGACAGAGAGAGAGAGAGAGAGACAGGGACAGGGACAGAGATAGAGACAGAGGCAGAAAGAGAGAGAGAGAGAGAGAGAGAGGCAGAGACAGAGAAAGACATGGACAGAGACACAGAGAGAAATAAAAAGAGACAGAGAGAGAGACAAAGACAGAGACAGAGAGAGACAGAAACAGAGAGAGATAGGGACAAAGACAGAGACAGAAAGAGACAGGGACAGAGACAGAGAGAGACAGCGACAGAGAGAGAAAGGGACAGAGACAGAGACAGGGACAGAGACAGAGAGAGACAGGGACAGAGACAGAGAGAGACAGAAACAGAGAGAGATAGGGACAAAGACAGAGACAGAAAGAGACAGGGACAGAGACAGAGAGAGACAGGGACAGAGACAGAGAGAGACAGGGACAGAGACAGAGACAGGGACAGAGACAGAGAGAGACAGGGACAGAGACAGAGAGAGACAGGGACAGAGACAGAGAGAGACAGGGACAGAGACAGAGAGAGAAAGAGAGAGGGTATATTGTTTATTATAGAAATATTTTGATATTACTAAAGCTGAATGTCTTTTTATTCCTTGGTATTCTTGTCTTTTTGCATTTTTTTTTTAAGAAATGCAGAATAATCTAATTGGAAATTTTAGATATAGAATGTCTTAAAAAACAGGATTTTAAAAAATTTACATTCCCCATGAACGAAAGTATATAATCTATTATGTACTTATATATATCATTATGCACATTATATATCACAGTGGGCACCATGTAAATGTTCTGAATTTTACTAATCATATATCCTATATATATATACTAAGTCACGGCGCTGCAGTGTAGAAAAACGCTCTTTGATCATGTATTCTCTGGCAGGGGAGAGTTGGACCTAGTCTAACATCAGTATATTTTGTTGTAATGCACATAGTAACTGTTTATTAGCCTTTACCGGAGTGTTGAAGACAAGACTAGTGTCAAATACGCTGGTGTCTTACATACATTCCTGTATACGACCTTTATTTCGTTCATAATTACTTGTGTATAAGACTGACATATTGAAGAATTACTGTGTTATCTCCAGAGTATATTCTCAATTCGTTTTTTTATGCAGTTCAAAAACATCCCAATGTTTTGAAGGTTTCTCCAATATTCTAACTATTCTATAACTGCAACTGTAATTCTATATCAACTGAGATTATATATTTATCAATTATTTGCATCATTGTAATTACTATGAATTCCTTTCGCAAATACCTCAAATTTACTTAAAATAACTACAAACTGAATATAATTCTTTGTCTTTAAGGTTACACACGAGACTAATATTCCATCCACTGATACTGGTAGAAAATATGAACAAAAACAATAAAATAAATTCAAAATAGGAACTAAACACCCAGTCTCGTGTTTGCGATTTTATTGCCGTGTTCACTTTCCTTCCCGATTATTATTTTTGGGGAAAATCTGATACATCTCCGTCATTTCAAGCAAGGAGCCTCCTCTCCGTGCCCCGAGACAATCTAAATCAACCCAAATATCTCCCATTCAAGGGGCGATAATCCCCCAAAAACTCTGAAAAAAGAGGTTGTAATATTGTGAATTCGTAGTGAGGTTATAGGGACCCAAGAGCCATCGTCATACAACCATCGGTTCTTACGGAAAAGGGTGAAATATTTAATCCCCAATTATGGCGAAAGTGGATCAAATAACGGTTCGGAACTCACCAAAACTGCGAGAAAAGATGAACCAAGAGGTAGATAATATATAAAAGAGAGCGTCGGTAGTAAGAGTCGACGCGGAACCCGAAAGGAACCGTCCGGAATACAAAATGGCGGACCGGGGAAACCGCGGGAAATTTGATTTTTTTTTTTTTTTCCGAAAGTGGCCGCGAAGCTTTCTGATGTCTGTCTCTTTTTCGCGGATTTTATTCGCCATTTCGATTTTAGTTGTGAAGTTTGAATTGTTCAGTTGGCTAGGAAGTCCATTTAAGTAATTTAATCATTTATCCATTTATTTTTTTTTTTTTATCATTGTTATCATTATTATTAGTAGTAGTAGTTGTAATTATTGCAGTTGTTATTAGTATTATTATC